GACAAGTAAACTGGGCCAGAACTGATCAGGGCTTTATAGGCCAAAGCCAACATTTTGAATTGTGTTTGGAAGCTGATAGGCAGCCAGTGGAGCTGGCGTAACAAGGGCATTGTGCACTCCCTGTACCCAGCTCCAGTGAGTAACCTGGCTACCGAGCGTTGGACTAGTTGAAGCTTCCGGGCAGTCTTCAGAGGCAAACCCATGTAGAGTGCATTGCAGTAGTCTATTCGGGATGTATCTAGAGCATGGACCACTGTGGCCAAGTCAGACTTCCCAAAGTACGGGTGCAGCTGGCGCACAAGTTTTAGCTGTACAAAAGTTCCCCTGGCCACTGCCAAAACCTGGGGTTCCAGGCTCAGCGATGAATCCAGGATCACTCCCAAACCTGCGCCTTCAGGGGGAGTGTAACCCCATCAAATACAGGCTGTAACCCTATGCCCTGTTTGGCCTTGCGACTGACCAGGAGGACCTCTATCTTGTCTGGATTAAGTTTCAATTTGTTTGCTTTCATCCAGTCCATTACACCTGCTAAACACTGGTTCAGGACTTGAGCAGCCTCCTTAGTAGCAGGTGGGAAGAAGTGACAGAGCTGGACATAATTTGCGTACAGATGACACCAAACCCCAAAAATCCAGATGATCTCTCCTAACTGCTTCATGTAGATGTTAAACTTAGGAGACAGTACTGAACCCTGCAGGACTCCACATTACAATGGCAATGGGGTTAAGGTGTCCCCTAACAACACCTTCTGGGAACGATCCTCCAAGAAGGACTGGAGCCACTGTAAAATAGTACCTCCAAGGCCCATTCCCATGAGGTATCCCAGAAGGATACCATGGTCAATGGTATCGAAGGCTGCTGAGAGGTCCAGCAGAACCATCAAGGTCACACTCCCCCTGTCTAGCTCCCGGCGTAGATCATCCACTAAGTTAACCAAGGCTGTCTCAGTACCATGTCCTGGCCTAAACCCAGACATGCCTTGATCTAAGTGAATTCTCTCAGAAGCACATTCAATTTTGAAGGGGCATGGAGAATACTGAATAACCACAAAGACAAGAATGGTGTACATTGTGTGCTTTGTGATGGATCATTCTTAATATCTCAATATTTATTGAAGACAAGCACCAGACATTTTCTCCACTGTCATAAGAGTACAAGTTTCATTAAAGAATGCACTATGACTATTGACAAAATTTGAATCTACCCTTAATGAAGTGTGTGTTAGTTTTCTGGGAGCTTATTTAAACACTGATTTTCATTAGTTCTATTAATGGGTCTGTGTGGATGAGAGATAATGAAATGAAATGAAACAAAATGCCTGAAGAGTAGACTTGAAAAGATTTTTTTAAAAATATCTTTCAGATTCAGGCAAAGACATTTTAGCATCAATGGCATTTATGAGCCTGTTGGAGTAGAAATCATTGCTACTCAACTCGAAGGAAAAGGAGGGAAGATGACAGAGGAGGGATAGACTAAGGGCAACTTTGTTAACTGTTACCTTTTTTTGTTTTGTTTTGCAATTCCAACTTTGTTATGAGAGTGGCTGGTGTGATCAGTCTCCCCAGACCAGAATCTCCATACTCCCCTGAGCCAAAACATCAACGCACCGGGATTGTGGCTGGGAGTCAGCTGCATTAAGATCACTACTGACCAAAAGTTCATGAGTTTGAAGCTAGCCCAGGTCGGAGTGAGCTTTCGACCAATTTGTGTAGCTTGTAGGTTGAAGAATTTCAAGTAGGAAATTTAGGTACCGCATATGCGGGGAGGGTAATTTAACTATTTACAGTGCCATAAAAATCTCCAGCAAGCATGCAAAAAAATGAGGAAGTACTTCATTAGTGTCACAAATGGATGGTGAAGCGATAGCTCCCCTGGTGGCCAGTATACCTTCATCAAAAAGCTCAAATGTTAAGTAGCCTCTGTGTGTCTGTCTATATATGTTGTGTGTCTATGGCATTGAATGTTTGCCATGTATATGTACATTGTAATACTCCCTGAGTCCCCTGCAGGGTGAGAAGGGCGGAATATAAATACTGCAAATACATAAATAAATATCCCTCAAGAGGAATCCCTGAAACTCAGGGTTGCTCCCAAGTCCAGATAATAAATTGACAGGCTAGCCACCAAGCTTAGTGATTTGTCCAATTCTCCATGACAGTGTAAGGTAAGTAGGGAAAAACCTATTAAAAAAACCCACACTTTTAGTTCCCAGAAAAACAAATGTGGTTGGACTGAATAAAAATCATACCAACCTTTCAGATTTACAGCTAATACCCCACTGGATTCTATGCACTCTATCAGGCTTTATGTAGTTTTTCAACATAGACTTCGTGTGTGTGTGTGTATCCATCCTAGTCAGGTTTTTGTTCTCTGGTCTGCTGTCTCGCTTTTTTTCTTTTATTAATAGTGTATGGCTGTTCTATCAGATGAATAGATCTGTAGGTGTTTTCTTAGACACTACTAGTGTCTTCATAGGAAGGCACCTATTTGTTCAAATTTACCCACATAATAAGCACTTCCATTTTTACATCTCATTTGAGATGCGCATGAGGAGGAGTTTTGTGTGCAACCACAGTACTGTGACAGTCCCTTACACATACAGCTACATTATTAGCTATAACTTCCCCCACTAAGTAAAGATTTCCGTTCATATCATTCCTTTAAGAGCAGATTAATTGTATAGGTTTTAAACAGTTTTTATTCACTTTCCAGTTTGCATAATAATTGGATATTTCTCATTTTCATCCCCTCCTCAAAGTGTTGTTAAAATTCGATCACAAAGACAAGACTTAGCTACTGTAAAGTATTCTCTATTTTGTAAAATAGGCTTATGCCTCCAGTATATTGTGCAATACAATAAGATACGGGTGTCTCCTTCCTCTTTCTTGAGGATAGATTACTAATCTAGCAGAAACTCAGATCTGCTGCCACCTCAACCACACTAACCATCAGTGAAACAAGTCACACAGCTCCCTTTTTCAAGCAATTTGAGAAGCGATTGTATACTTGGACATTACCTTTTGGCCAATTTAGAAATCAAATAGACTATGTAATTGGAAGCAGAAGCAAAAACAAGACTAGGAGCAGATTATGGCACAAGACATAAAAAAATTAGATGTACAACTAAAGAAGAAGACCAAACCAACCATAATGTCAAAATACAGTCTAAAGAACATTCCTGTAGAATCTTAAAAATAATGTGAAATGTAAAGGTCATATGAAAAATAAATTTGCACTATTATACCCAATTGTCAAGGAGCCTGAAAACCTCTCAACTGAAGGCAGGGACAATTGTCAATGAGGAACATAAAAAAGTCTCAACAGGTGACAGACAAAAACAGTAAAAGGAAGACAAAAAGAAAATGTAAAAGGTGACAGAAATAGAGTCAGACCCTTGAATATAACAAGGAGAACTATTATAATAACCAATGCAGAGAAGTAGAAGATGACAAAAGAAGAAGAAGAAGAAGAAGAAGAACAGAAGACCTCTCCCACAAGATCCAAGAAATGAAAGGGAATTTGAAAACCAAAAGTGGGAATACTCTACAATCTTCAGGGGAAGCAAAGATGACAAAATTGAGACTGCCATACTTTGGCCATATCATGAGAAGACATGACTCAGTAGAAATGACCATAATGCTTGGTAAGATAGAATTCACTAGTAAAAGTTAGTAAAAATTAGTAAACTAATTATGTATTTAGATGACCATCTTGTGCAGTCTAGTCATAGGAATGTAGAATCATAGAATCAAGGAATTGGAAGAGACCTCATGGGCCATCCAGTCCAACCCCCTGCCAAGAAGCAGGAAAACTGTATTCAAAGCACCCCTGACAGATGGCCATCCAGCCTCTGTTTAAAAGCTTCCAAGGAAGGAGCCTCCACCACACTCTGGGGTAGAGAGTTCCACTGTTGAGCGGCTCTCACAGTCAGGAAGTTCTTCCTAATGTTCAGATGGAATATCGTTTCTTGTAGTTTGAAGCCACTGTTCCGTGTAAACTAGAAGTTATGGGTTTAATGAGTAATTTCATGACCTCTTGTGGTTGTTTACAGTTTATTTTTGCTTATGGAAAATTAATATTCTCAATCTCTTTTTCTCTCTCTCTCCCTTGCTGATTTTTGATATCTTCTCAAAATCTTTTCAAAAAGTCAGATTTTTTAAGGAAACTCTAAAGGTACATATTCTGAGAATATTTGTAGCTTCCACAGATTGCATAGCACCTCCAGACAATTATAAATGGATAAATCAGTTTGTATCTCAACTGTCTATTTTGCTTGTATTATCACATATCTATTTCATCAAATCTATGTGATCACATTAATCTATTTTTTACGTTCAGTAGAAATTTTGCTTTAAATATGGATCTTAAGATTGTTTTATCTCAAAATGTTCATTTGAAATGTACTTCAAAAGATTTTCATACATTTCTGAGACCATTTTGGAAGGTATTTTGCTATTCTGCATATAGACCTGAAAACTGATGATTGACTCAGTTTGTGCTGAGATTGCAAAGATCCACTTCCAGAAGTATTTATGCAGCCAAGATACCAGACCTTTTCCAAGTCTGGCTCTCTAAGGCTTTGCTGAAAACTTTGTACGCTTAAGACTGTTCCCTGTGAAAAATGCTCAAAGATACTGAATGCTGCCTGTGATTTTACAAAAAAAAATATACCTGCTTGAAAGTGCAACATTCAACATGAACTTCAAAACTGATATCCCTGGCACAGGAGATACCATCCTGATTCTACCTTTAGGTATAATGTTTCAACATTATAAAAAGGATTGTAATGCTGCATGAATTGGAAATGTGTGTCTTCAAAAGGACAGTATCTGACAGGATTTTATATTAGTAGTACAGAAACCTTTTACGTAAATACACTGGGTTGACATTTCTGATGATATGACCCACATTGTACACAGAAAAAAGACCTTTCTCAGTGGCAACATGCTGTTCTTTCAAAATCACTTTTCTCCAAAACATTTGTGTGAAATTTTCTTTACCTCCAAATACATATTTTTCTCCCGTCAAAACTTTCAGAGGACTGATGCTCCGAACAGAGGAGGCTTCATCTCCATCAATGGTAAGGACAGCAAAATTTTCCTTTGCTAAGAACCGAACTTCATGCCACTGCCCATCATTGAGTCCAGCACCTGTAAGGAGAAGGACAGGAGACGAGAAAAGAAAGATTTCTTTAGTTGCATTATTTTGAATTGCTTCAGGCACTGGATTTAATCTCTTGGGTGTGATAAAGAGTATTACATTGTACACAGTACTGCAGTTAGGATAAAATACTTATACATCATATAAAGGCATACAACCATTATTGTCATATGTAAATTTTAGGAAAGTGTTACATTTGACCATCTGAAATAAATTTTATGAATGTCGGAAATCCGGGTAAATGTTGACATAGGAAGCATCCATGTAAAATTATAGGCATACATACATCTGAAATACTAGTACCCAGGTAGTACAGGCATACATATGTATGTAGTATAGGCATACATACATCTGAAATACCCCAGGTCTCGGGTCAGGGGAGCTTTTGCACAATTAAAACTTGTGCGCCAGCTGCGCCCGTACCTTGGGAAGTCTGACTTGGTCACAGTGGTCCATGCTCTGGTTACATCCCATATAGACTACTGCAATGCTCTCTATGTGGGGTTGCCTCTAAAGACTGCCTGGAAGCTGCAATTAGTCCAACGAGCAGCAGCCAGATTCCTAATAGGAGTGGGGTACAGGAAGCATACTATTCCTCTGTTGCGCCAGCTCCACTGGCTGCCAACTAGCTTCCGAGCACAATTCAAAGTGCTGGTGTTGACCTATAAATCCCTAAACAACTCCAGCCCAGTTTACCTGTCCAAACGGATTCTCCCCTATGAACCATCAAGGTTGTTAAGATCTTCTGGAGGGCTCAGCTCTCGGTCCCACTACCCTCGCAAGCGCGTCTGATGGGGACGAGGTACAGGGCCTTCTCATTGGTGGCCCCTCGGCTCTGGAACTCTCTCCCACTGGAGATTAGAACTGCCCCTTCTTTCCTGACTTTCAGAAAGCTGGTGCAAACTTAACTTTGAAATATAGCATTTGATGAGTGAGTCAATAACTCTTGACCACACGGACAGATGGTGTTGAATTGTGATTTCATTCTGACGACTTGGCCTTATGTAATTATGTTTGTATTTTAATGTATTTTATGGATTAGTGTATTATGAAGTGTGATGTTTTTATACTATTGTTTATGAATCTCTTGTTGTGAACCAGCCTGAGTCCTTCTTCGGAGGTTGAGAAGACCGGGTTATAAAAGCTCTAAATAAATAAATAAATAAATAAATAAATAAATAAATAAATACATAGTAGAGGGAGGATGGTGCATCTCTACAAGGGCATTTATTTGGCTAAGATTCTCAACATTTAATACCATATATACTCAGGTATAACTTATCCACAGGTCAATGAAAAGGGACGGGGAGAGGGGCAACAGCTCTTTGACATTTCCCCACCACAGTAGAGAGAGTAGGAGGACCGGCACTTCTTTTAAGCTCTCCCAGGACAGACTAAACTCTTGGCTTTCAGCACTTTATTCAGAGAAGGAAATAATTCTTTTTTTCATCAAAAGCATTAACTCTTATTTAAAAAAGGAGTTATCCCCTTCTCTGAGTGGAGTGATGAAAGGCAGCAGCAACACTAGGTTTAATGTCTCCACGATGGACCTTCTCATGTGCTGTGTCTTCTCTTTTGGACCACTCAGAGTGGGGAGGTCAGTTAAATCAGAGTAAGCAAGTGGAAGAACAAGTCTCTCTCCTGGTTGCCCAAGCTGCCTCCTGTCTCATCCATCGCTGCTGCTGTGACTGCTGTGGCTCTCATGCCTTGTACTTGTGCTCCTCTTCTTGCTCCTTAGATGGCTTTTAGAACAGTGAATTGTTCTCTTCTAACTCCTGGGCTTCCTGTAATGTTGAAGAGCTGTTCCAAAGCTGACAAGGGACATAGCTCCTGCCACGGTCAGATAATCATGATTGTCCTGCTACTCGGGGTCAGAGATAGAGCCACAAAAGAGTGGTGAGCTTGGAGCCATGCCGGCAGAAGAGAGGACAACTACAATAGTGGTAGCATCAGGAGCTTAGTTGCAGGTAAACTACTACATCACATAGGAGCACAGAGGTGAAGGGTGTTTCTGTGGGTGTTTGCCAGGGGAGACCCAAATTTATGTGCTATTCTGTATTTAATTCTGATAAAAATAGAGGGGGGTCATGGAGTCACCTGGAGCAGCTATGGAATGTTTGTGTTCTTGCTTGAAGGTGTGGCTAGCTATACTTGCAGTATGTTCAAATTAGTGACCCTCTTGGAAGTTAAGGTCCAGCACCTTGAGGCCCATGCACCCACTCTTCAAAGGAAAAGTGGTTGCTTTCGAATCAGCAGAGCAAATTGTCTTGCTTGAGAATCACACAAGGAATCTTTCTGAGGAGTGGATGACTCTCCAAAGACAGGAGGTAGATACTTGGAGCAAATTGCAGATAGAAGTAGAAAGACCAGGAATCATTTTTTTTAGTTTGGGACTGCAGAATCGCTTCAAAGCTCTCTGTAGCATTAGTGATGGTGGAGAACAGGCAGAAGTACAACAGTGCCTGTCCTCGGAAAATGGGCAGGTATCCTTGGAAAAGTCATCACATAAAATGGCCACTGCCAAATCTCCTAGAAGACATGTAGTGGTGGTAGACTCCCTGCTGAGGAGGTGTTTGGACCTGACATGATTACTTCAGATATGTGCTGGAGTCAAGATCTGAGATGTAACAGAGAGGCTGAAAAGCATTGTCAAGCCCACAGATCATTATCCCTTCCCAGGCATGTAGCCTGGGGCGGGGGGCTTGAAGGGCTTCAGCCCCCTCCCCAAATTCTCAGTGTGGTCCGTGAGAAGGCCTTACTAGGTTTTTTTTGTTGCGTCAGGAGCGACTTGAGAAACTGCAAGTCGCTTCTGGTGTGAGTGAATTGGCCGTCTGCAAGGACGTTGCCCAGGGGACGCCCGGATGATTTGATGTTTTTATCATCCTTGTGGGAGGCTTCTCTCATGTCTCTGCATGAGGAGCTGGAGTTGATAGAGGGAGTTAATCCGCCTCTCCCCAGATTCGAACTTGCGACCTGTCAGTCTTCAGTCCTGTCAGCACAAGGATTTAACCCACTGTACCACCGGGGACTCTGCGGCCTTACTAGTACATTATTTAAACTGTTATGTTTATTCATATAATGATCTGATTACCATGCTCAATATATCCCATATGCATGGGGGTATTGGGATAACGATACAAAAGGTTTCCTAGGGTAGATCCTCAGCCCCCCCCAAATCAAACTCACCCCCTCGAATCAAACTCAGCCCCTCTCCCGAATCAAAATCCTGGCTATGGCCTGGTCCCTTCCTTTTGGTCCATGTGGGATGCAGTGACATTGTAAGGCGTAGTCTTTGAGAGATCGCATAGGATTACAAGACTATGGGTAGGAAACAGAAGGGTCTTGATACCCAGGTCATCATTTTGTCTGACCTCCTAGTTCAAGGACATGGCCTAGGATGGTAGAGAAGGATAATATAAGTTAATATCTGGCTTTGCAGAAGGTGCCACCAGGAACAATTTGGTGTCCTGTTGCTATTCACATAAACAAACCCTTTTTGGCCCCCTGTAAATGGGGGTTAAAAGCAAGACGTGGATTAGGGTTCAAATGAATCTAAATAATTTACTTCAGAAGAACATAACTTGTGACTTCATCACACTAGAGAAAAATCCACTTAAAATCCTGCAGATTTCTGGGGTTTGTAGTTTAGGGGGGAGACTTTAAAAGCCTCACTAAACTACAAACTTCAGAATTTTGCAGGAGGCAGTAACTGGATTTTAAGTGGATTTTTCTCTCTATTGTGATGAGGGTTTTATTGTTATTATGCAGATTTAATGGAGTAGGAAAAATCTACTCAAGAGCAAAAAGTTAGTTTTCAGATTCAGTGCGGTTCTTCTTTCTCTTTGCTTAATTAAGAGATTATGAAGCAACAGTGCCTAAATTCGGAACATGTAAAATTTGTAAATATTTCTCATATGTGAAGAACTGTATATAGCTCACACTGAGAGGAGAATTTTTGAATGAAAATTGGAAAGCATTATAGTTTACATAGCAGAACATTCAGGAGATATACAATTAAGTTTGGTATTTTGGCACAAAATATTTTATTTCATTTTGGAATTGTGTTTTCTGCTTTTGTTCATGCTACAAATTATTTTAGAAAATGCTTAAGTTGCTTAAAGTATGCAGCTGCAAATCTCCTGCAAGTCATAAGAACTTGGTTTCATGTGCAAATTAGATATGTTAATGAAGCATATTCTGCCTTGCTAGAATTTCTTTTAAATGGCATTACTTTAAAATTGGGACTCTTGAGATTGTCACTTTGATTGAACAAGAAGAAACAGATGTTTTTGTTATAAGAGACAAGGAGGAAGAAATGGTTTAATGAGTAGTATTTTTTCCCTGCAACATCTCAACATCTAGTAAGAAATAGTAAAGGATGCCATATGTTAATTATTCTTCCAATAACACTAAAGGAAATCATTTTAAAATGTCTTTATAGTTGAATTTAGAGATCAGAATAGAGTGAACTGTGCAAGTGGAATAAGTGAGTGCTAGAGCTAGACTTAATACAGTTAAATGGATCTTAACATCAGTCCATTTATTGACGGAATGGTGCAATAATAGAAGAATGCTCATTCACAAAACTATTAATCTGGAGAATAGTGGATAATTCAATAAAGAATGCAAGCAATGTAAGTTAAATGTGAAGTATCAGGCTACATTAAAAAGCTTCATAGGCTCGGGTCACACACACATGTTGTTGCAGCTTAAGACCATTGACGTTTTGTTGTAGTTCAGCATGATGGTAACATTGCTACTACTTGTAGGAGGGAGAAGAGGGCTGCACAGGTGCTGGAAGAAGAGCAGCAGCGAAAGCGGATTAGAGAGATAATCATGGCCCCGAGTGATTCTGAAACCTCTGAGGGCTTCTCCGAATGTGAAATGGGGGATGGGGAGGAAAGCCGGGGAGTCAAGCGGGCTACTCGCGACCAAGAGTCTGACGAGGAAGCTCAGAGGAAGCTTATTCGTGATATACTTACCGCTCCTA